CTCTCTGCTGTCAGATTACTCCATTCCACCCAGTTTTTCTTTTCCTTCTTTTCTCCACTGTAATAAAGAGCAGCAGTTCTCAGATTTTCCATCAGAAGACCTCTTTACATACTAAAAAGTGACTCTGGACCCAAGGAGCTTTGTTTATGTGAGTTATATGAACATTTAAAATGTAGAAATTAAGGCCAGTAACTTTTTAAAAATTACTCCATTTTAAAACAGTAAATCCAGGGGCCAGCAGGTGGCGTGGTGGCTAGGGTGCTCACTGGATTCCCACATGGTTGGCCATGGTTCTAGTCCTGGGCCAGGAAGCTTGAAAATTACACTGGGCACATGTGTGTATGCCCAAAATCCCAAGAGGAGAAGGGATTGTGGCATGGGCATCCTTTCAGGAGAGGGCTTCTCACTTTCCTTCTCTGTCTCTAGTCAGTGCACATGCCGTATGGCAAAAATCTAACAACAACAACAACAAAAAGATAAATCCATTATACATTTTTTGTAAAGCCACCATATTTTTCAAAACAAAAAGTTTAGTGAGTAGAAGGGTGGCACCATTTTTGCACTTTGCCATCTTTAACATCTCGCTTAGCAGAGGCCAGCTATATCTCACACCAGCTTCTGCCTGCAGCATGTTGTGGGTTGTATCATGGCAGAAGGGAATCAGCCTCCTCCAGAGACTGGGAAGGGAAGGCCCACCCAGACCCTTGGACCACACATTGGAGGGCATGTTGTGGCAGTCAATGTTAATCCATACATTCTAGAATATATAGAATCATGGCAGAACAAGAGGAGGAAATGACCCCTCCAAGGCCCCTTGAGGAAGAGCTGGAGGAAGTAACCAATCCAATAACCATGGGTTGCCTCTTCTCTTGGGAAGGATGAACCCATTTTGCTGCGAGAACAGTGGCGGGAGGGTAGTTAGAGCCTCTTTTTTTTTTTTTTTTTTGGGGGATTTTTTTTTTTCCCCTTTTTTTTTTTGGGGGGGTTTTTTTTGCTATAGGGCACGTGTGCTTGCCAAACAGAGACATAGAGACAGAAAGCGAGAAATCACCCCCCAGGGGGGATGGTCACGCCACAATCCCTTCTCCTCCATTCTCCTCTCGGGATCTTGGGCAAGCACGCACACGCGCCCAGTGTGAGTGTTAAGCCACCGGGTCCAGGACGCAAACCGCGGTCAACTACGTGGGAGTCCAGCGACATAGCCATTACGCTAACTGCTGGTTCCCGTTAGAGCCTCATTTTTAAGGGCTGGTGTGGCATGGTCTTTGTCATTATCTCTGGCTATCCGATATCTGAACACCTCTCCTTCTGGGACAAACCCTCTGAGTCTGGGCAGAGCTCAAGGATTCCAGTGAGCCCTCCCTTCATGTTCTGGAAGCTACAGAATGAGCACACACCTGAGGCTTACTGGTCACATCCTCTCTTCAGTACTTGCATTTTGAGTTCATGGCATTGGGGTGTGGGGAGTGGTGACACTGGGGGCCCCTTTTGGTGGCAGTGGCAGCAGCTGCAGCATCCTCACTGAATGGTTCCTGAGGTGCGACCGTAGCTGCTTTTCCAGCAGCTCAGCCTCCGGGATCCCATGTGCTCATAAGCCTGACCATCTGTGAGCTCCTGGAATCCCAGCCGCTTCCTTCCCCCCAGAGTCCTGGGGGGTGGGGGCTGCCCTGCTGCCCAGGCCCGGCTCCACTCTCCCGCTGCACTCTCTCAGTGCCCTCCACTTGGCTGGCCTCCCTGAGCTAGGCTTGCCCTTTCCAAAGCCTCTGGCATAGCCCTCTGGAGAAGCCCTTGGACTACAGCACTTCCACAAACTGTCCTGTGTGGGCCCCCAGGGCACACCACTGCTTTTTGTCCTTTAATTTTATTATTTTCAATTTACTGTAGGGCACATGCACTTATGGGGGGGGGGAGTGACACGGCAAGCTGTCAGGTCTGGGACTCACACTGTAGTCAGCCATGTGGGAGTCCTGCTTTAACCTCAACACTGCTGAGGCATCTGAATGCAGGTTCCTCATCTCATCTCAAATCCTCAGCAGACTCCTTCTAGTGGAAACTTTTAAAAAGTACAGAATGTATGAAATCGGGATTTCACACAAGACTCCCTTAGAACTGTCTAGCATTTTGGATGCACAGACTGACAGCCTTGTGCAGACTGTCACTGTCCTTGCACATGCACGGCCTAGCTGTGTGCTCTGTTCAGCAGAATGTGCGATTTGACACACATCACACATGCAGGAAAAAATAAGGTCCGGGGAAGTTGTTCCTTCAGCCAGGGACCCAACATAGGGGAGCAGACCTGGATCACACTCCTGCCCGCAGTGTAACCTGAAAACCAAATTGCATGCCCTAGAATAGGAATTGCAGTTTTAGGCCACTGAGATTTCTAAGGTTGTTTTGCAGCAACGCTGATGAACAGCATCATTTTACAAGAGAACCTACTGGCTAATTTGAGGCATGCCAAATTGGACATTGTGCTGTGTGACGTTAAGTAAACCCACAGACATTGCTGAGGCTGCAACACTTCACAGGCCAATGCTCTATTCTCAGTATGCCCACAGTTTGTACCCAGTGGTCTTAAGGCAGGAGAAGCTGGCAGGAATGGCCTGCAGAGTGACAGCTCATTACACACCTGACGTTGGCACACTGACAGACAACTTGGGGGAGAGAAGATGGGCTGCGTGGGACTGAGGAGGGCCCATCAGAGCTAAGGGGGCTCTGACAAGTCTGAAACTGCAGCCAGGAGGGGTTAGAGATTTTATGGTAAGAGACCAGCAGATGGCATAATGTTTATGTTGCTGGATCCCATGTAGTCGACCGTGGTTCGAGTCCTAGACCTAGTGGCTTAAAACTCATGCCAGGCATGTGTGAATGCGTGCCCAAGATCCCAAGAGAATGGAGAAGGGATTGCAGCATGGCCATCCCCCCAGGAGTGATTTCTCACTTTCTGTCTCTCTAGCAAGTGCAAGTGTCCTGCAGCAAAAATCTCTCTTAAAAAAAAAAAAAAAAAAAAAAGAAACCCTAGGGACGCCTCCAAACTGCCCCTCTTCCGAGAGACCCTATGGCAGCCTCAAAACTGCCTCTCTACTCCTCAGCAATTCCTGCTCCTCCACCCCTAAATCCACTGAATTACATGCCAGTGCCTCTGAAATAATTTTTGAGGGGCAGAGGGAAGATGGGGAGACTGGGCTCCGGAAAACAAAGATGGGCTGCAGTTCCAGGGAGGGTCACCCTGCTATGCATTTAGCATAAAATGCTCAGACGCTGTCTCTCAGTGCCATGAGGTCCAGCTCCCCCTTTCACTGCACATGCTACAGGAGTGGGAGCCACACTTGAACTGCTCTCCACTGTATGCCCACGACGGGCACCATGCCTGGCTCAGGGCAGGCCCAGTAAACCTTTGCTGAGAAACTGAATGAGTAACTCAATGAATCCTGCTGATGAAATCTTACACCCACTACTGCTCAGGGCTGCTTCCCACATTCCACCAGCAAGTGTAAACGGGCTGAGAGAGAGCAAGCCCTCAGCCTAGGCCTGGCCTGGCACCCGCAGGTTCTCAGGGCTGGCTTTTGTACCGTGTGTTACTGTCATGTGTACTAAGTATATATTTTAGTGTGTTCTAAATAGGACAGATACAGTGAATTAAGGTTTACCTTTTTCTTTTCCTCCTAATTGAATGGGTTTGCTCCATGGCCAGGGCAAGGGATGTTACTTAACACAACAGAAATCATTTTAAATAAACTGCTCAGAGTAAAAGTGAATTTCCCCAGTCTTCTCCCCAGTAATAATATAAACAGTCCTTGCTACTTAACCTCCTTCACAAGTACTTATTTGTTCCTGTAAGAACATTCACTGCCCTCACAGGATCTGCCTTTTGTCCTTCTGATTTCCTGGTGTACCAGCAGGACCTAAAGGAACACTGTACTTACCTAAAAAGAATAACCTCCCTGTTGGTGACAGATCAAAAAGTTTGGACCTTAAAATAATTCCTGACCCTACTGGCCATTTCTGCTTAAGGTCACTCTGTCCAGCTTTCCAACAATACTTACAACTAATATTCTAGGATCCTTAGACAAGCCACTTACTGCTTTTTTTTTTGGCTGCTCCTGAGGAGATGGTACTACATCTGTGGGAAGATCTGAGACACTAAATAACATTGTCACTTTATGGCCTGGTACCATACTGGTGCATCCCACCTGTTCCCAAAGGGAGATGGCTCCTCCCTCTATTAAGGGTGCCAAGAGACCTTCATACTGCAGGCCCCCACTTTCTAATACCTGGATGTTAAGATCTACGGAGTTTCCAATCCCTATAGCCATATCTCATATTTTGAAAAGAGGACACTATATGCAGTCTTTAGGGACATCTGTGATAGATACACGTCGTCACATACAAACTTAAAAAAATACTTTTAACATAATATATGGTACTGCAGAGAACTAGAATCCAACATATTACACTGCTAAAATATTCATATAAATACTACATATGCATGGACTCACTCCATTAGAAAAATTCGATATTAAAGGCCAGTATCAGCAAATTCTAAAGGAAAACGATTCTAACAGTAGGAACACTAAAACCACTTTGTGGTTTATAAACAAGTGGTGGGAAAGGGGATCCTTTACATTTTCTATTATGTCACAACAGGCACAATCTGAAATACAATTAGGGACTAGCAGTGTATAAAAATATCTTTTTAAACAATACTTTTGATATAATAGCACTTACAAAAACAGCTGGGTAGTTATTCCTTCTGAAGACCCACTAAAACAATTCAACTTACTGCCTCCAGCCAGCTTTTAAAGCACTAACCTGGAAAGCAGATTCTCACACTTGTACACCATGTGCACTTCCACGCACCCGCAACCACATAGTAAAATAACCTCCTATATCTACAGGCATACTGATGAGTCAGTGATAGTCATCAATCTCAAACAGGGCATGAGAAGAGGATGTTTGGAGCCTGCTCCAGGTTTGGGATGGATGAACAGAGGCAGAAGCAAGGTGGAATCTACATGTGTATGTTTTCCATTCCACTTGTGGGCACTCCCTGGAAGAGGAGTTTAATCTGGCATATCAATATTTAACTTGGGAGGCGGGGGAACATATTTTCCAGGGCTCTGAGTTACAACTACCCTGGCTTTCTTTCCAAACATCGGAGCAATTTTTGGAGCTTCTGGAACTGATGTTTCTTCAGCATCTTCACTATCTTCATGGTGGAGATCATACGATATATTCCCATATTCTCTTAAAAATGGGAAAACTTCAAGCAGAAACTGGCAGAAATCTCTGCGAATACCGAACCACCAATGATTGCCCCCCTTCCGCCTAAAGGTCGTGGCCATTAAAGTTATCAACGAAAGCCAAAGGGGGACAAATATGGAGATGTAGGAGAACGTATTGTGGCCATCCAATCTGTGCACCAGCAGGACCTCAAAAGTGAGCAGGGGCACGACAATTGTTATCCAGCTGATGGCCATGGTCATGTGTGTTCTCCGTTGTTCCGCAACCACATCCAGGGACCGCAAGAACAGCAAGGACCAGACGATGTAGTAGAGGACGACCAGGCATAGGAACGACATGAGGATCCACAGGGGCACGAACACCACCAGCCATGGCCAGTGGATAATCCTGTCCAGCCTTAGGGCGATGAAGAAGAACTGCAGGATGTTCACCGAGCACAGGATCTCCAGCTCTAGCGACCTATCATGCCGGAAACCCCAGACACAGGCGGCCACAGACACAGGGGACACAAAGAAGAGTGGCATGAAGACCAGCAGCCAGAAGTGGGTGCCTCTCTCCACCCGGTCGCAGACCAGGACCTCGAACATAAGCAGCAGCAGGTGGATGCCCACAGCGATCAGCATGGCCTTGAACTCCACGCAGGCCTCCCCCTCGGTGCGGTAGCGAGGGTTGCGGGCCCAAACGCCAGCGCCCACCAGGGCACCCGCCATGACCAGTAGCTTCCACAGCCATATGGGGGCGAAGACGGCCCAGTAGCTCCACTGGATAATGCCGTCCAGGCGGAGGGGCAGCAGCACTGAGAAGAGCAGCAGGCAGGCGTAGATGAGGAACTTACTCGGGTTGAAGTCCTGGAACAGACCCCTGGGGTTCATGGCGGAGGGCGTGTTCCTCCGCGACGCTCGGCGCCTGCGTCTTCGCCCCCAGGGCTGGGTTCTGCTCAGCCCGGACTCTAGGTGGACCTCGGCCGAGGCAGCCGGGAGTAGCTTCCGAGCGGCGGCGCGGAGAGGCCGGAGCTGGTGCGTGCGCGGTCACGTGTCCCGGCCGGAAACGCGCTGGGCGCGGCGTCTACCAGGGGGGCGCTGCTTCGGCCCCACAGCCGGTGCCGCCACTGGGCTGGGGGCCCTCGCCACTCGCCTTCATTCCGTGCTCATCAGGGGGTCCCCTACTGCGCTCGGCACCCGGCACCCGGAGGGGATGGGCGCACTGCCGACTCCCAGGCCGGCCCGTTGGCAGCGAGCGGGCCACGACCTCGGGCGGACGCTTCCTGACGGCGGCGCGAATATGGAGGCGAGAGTGAGCTCACATCCTCCCGGCCCGCCGGGGGCGGGGCCTAAGGCCCGGGGCGGAAGGGGGCGTGGTGAGTAGGCCGAAACGGGGCGGGGCCGAGCCCAGGGGCGGGGCCCTGTTCCCTCCTCGCCCGCGCCGCTGCTGTCGCTGAACTCTCCCAGAAGGTCAAGCGCGGGTTGGGAGCTCCAGCGCTGGGCGCGCGGGTGGGCACGTTTGCGAGCAGCAGTGCGAGAGCCTGTGTGCACAAGCCGAGGCGGTGGGCCGGAGGTGCACGTGTGGAGATATGTGGGCGGGTGTGTGTTTGCCCCCGGATGGAAGAAGGCGCCCCGCGTGTAGAGTCGGCACGGGGAGTGCCTGGGGTCTTTGCCTGAGCTCGTGGCTCTGACAGGACTCCTGGCGGGACAGTTCGCAGGCTGCCGGTGAAATGGCAGAATGCCTAGGTGACCGCGGTGGTCTTGTGCCTGGCCATTTCTCCCTAAGAAGTGGCTGTCGGGTGCTGGGGAAGGAGACCCCACAGCTCCCAGACAAAGGCTCCTGGGGAGCGGACCCAGAGCGGAGGTGCTTCCAGCCCCAAGTCTCCGGGCAGGCAGGTTAGGAGCCCAGTGGAGGTGCAGGTTCAGAGCGCCCGACTTTAAGTGCCTGGTCCTTCGGACTCCTCCGACCCTGCCACCGTCTGATTCTTCAGAACAATGGCGGGAAAGGGGCACTGGGTTACAGGTCAAGAGACCTGGTTTCCAGTCCAAATCCAGCTGATAGGCCCTGCCACCTATCAGCTGAAAATGTAGGCGAATCCACCCTTTCTGGGCCTTGGCTGGCCGGAACACCGTCCAAGGGCAGCAGGGCTGCGATGGTTTGTGATCTGGAGCACCCTTCTTTTTCTCCAGGCCTGCGCCCGCCCCAGAAGATTCCTTCCTGTTCTTCCCACTGCCCTGCCTCTCAGCAGAGCCTTGGTTGCTTGTCCTTCCTGTGGCCCAGCCCCAGTGGACTCACTTGGTCCGGTTGCCTGAAGTGGGTACAGCGCTGGCACACAAATCCTGGGCGCCGAAGCCGGGGCAGAGATCCGAGGAACGCCTGGGCCCTAGCATAACAAGAAAGGGTTTCCCAAGTATAGCTGAGTGACTTCCCAGCACCCTCACAGCCCCTGCTCACTGCCCAGCCCACGTCCAGACCCAGGAACCAGCTCTCCCCAGACATGGCAGCAGTGTCAAGGTGGACGGTGTGAACCCTCAAAGATCTCCCCACAAGGGCATCTGCCCTGCCTTCACCAGAGGCAAAGAGGTGGCCCTGGGCAGGCACCCACAGCAGTGAGCTTCAGCAGTCCAGAACGCTCATCTCAGCCATGGCTTTAGGACCCCTCTTGTCTGCAGACTCCCTGGGCAGTCACTGTGGGTGAGCCTTAGCTAAGTGGGGCCACACACCTTCCTCCCTCAATCCCTCCCTGCTAGCCAGAGTTGCTCTTAATTGTCTGTTTTGCATATTGGTCTTTTGGGTACTATTCTAAGAAGGATTTGTCAGCTAAAGCAAAAATTAAAAGCTGAAAATCTGACCCAGCTATTCTGGCAGCGGTAGCACCGTTGTCTGCAAGGCTGGACGCCACACGGCCGACAGTGGATTAAGATCCCTGGGCTGCCTGAAAACACACTGGACGGGTCACCCAGGAACATGAGCTAGAGGACTGAGGAAGGAGCCCATGTGTGACGAGGCCTGTTGCCTCACAGTTTCTGTGAATTGAGGGTGCTTCTCTGATGTGTGCATGTGCACTCTGTCATAAGTATGTACATTTAAAAATATTTTCTAAAAAGTTGAAAACCCCTGGCTCTCTCAGACCTGCTTCATCTTCATCTATGAAATGGGCTAAAAAAAATAAATAAAAGAGAACATAGGATCAGGGTCAGCAGGTAGCATGTGTAAGGCACTAGATTCTCCCGTGGCTGGTCACAGTTCAAGCCCTGGACCTGGCAGCTTGAAAATCATGCTGGGTGCATGTGCATATGTGCCCAAAAATCCCAGGGGGAGGATGGAAGAGAAGGGACATGATCATACCCCCAGAGGGTGATTTCTCACTTTGCCTCTCTCTGTCTCTCTCTAGTAAGTGCACATGCCCTATGACAAAAACCTAAAAAAACAAACAAACAAACAAACAAAAAAAACCACTCAGGATTGTTTTGAGGATAAAACGAGTCAATACATGGACTTTTGCATTTGGAGAAACAAACAATATTACCACATGGGTGGAAAGGGGTCTGCTGGCAGCTTCCAGGGAGATGGTGACAGAGCCCAGTCCTCTGGATCCTACTGAAACAGAAATTCTCCCCAATCACCCTTGTTTCCGGAGGGCCTCAGTGCCAGTGCGACCAGCCTCATGGCAAAGGCAGGAATTTGGAGCATGTTTTCCTATCTCTCTAGTTCCGGATTTCAGGACAAGTGTGTGGTTTTTTCCTTTCAGGAAGAGTCCTGAGGTGGCCTGTCACAGTGCATGGCATCTCTGTGCCCAGCTCCTCAGGGAGGTCAAGGGCCACCTTCCAGGATTATGTCAAAGCCACAAGACAAAGGATGCTGTCTGCCACTGTCCTCTAGCTGACTTCCCTGGGCCTCAGACCTACCCTGGTTCTGTACATTGGTTTTTCCCTGTGCGGCTAGTCTCCTGGGGACTTCCCTGACCTTTATTATTTCCTTCCTTTTTTTTTTTTTTAAGGATTTTGCCATAGAGTACCTGTGCTCGCCAGATAGAGACAGAGAGAAGGAAAGTGAAAAATCACCTCCCACAGGGGATGGCCACACCATAATCCTTTCTCCTCCTCCTCCTCTTGGGATTTTGGGCACACACACACACACACATACACATGCCCGGCATGATTTTCACACAGCTGGTCTGAGGTTCAAAACAGAGTTGGCCATGGGGGAGTCCGATGCCTTAACCACCTCATCACCTGCTGGCCCTGCTCTTTATTTGATTTTAGAGCTAGCACATGCCGGGTGCTGGATGGCACAGCTGCCATGAAGCTAGTACACAAACCCTAGTGTAAGTCCATTTATTTACAAAGGGCGGGTGGAGGTGTGGTGCTGCAGGCTGCTAGCACAGGCCCACCTTCCTGAGTCCAGGTATGGAAGGGTTTAGGGACTGTAGCCCCAGAGGGCAAGGGCTGCCATGGTCTAAAAGGGCGCTGTCCTCAGATGAGCTCCCTGTCCCCCACCCTGCAGTGTCCCCTGCTTGGCAGCAGTACCAGCTCCCTGTGAGGCCCTTCTGAGCTTCACTGGCCAGGGCCCTTATGGTCTGTGTACCAGTCTGCTGGTCTTGCTGTCTCCCCGAATGTGCTGTGCATGGCCTCCCCATTCCACAGTCCTACTGTTAACTTTTGGGGGTGGCCCACGCCTATGTAACTTCTTTTTCTTTCCTCAACTGTCAAGACCAGTGACAGGGCTTCAAGGCCACTTTCTTGACCCTTGGTGGACCAGTGACCCTTCCTGACCTCCCACAGCTTTGTTCTGTCATGGGACTCATTTCACTGGGTAAGGGTAGGTCTATTTGACCATCTGTCCCTCCATGAGATTTGAGTTTAGGTACCCAGCTCGTGTTCATGTCAAGCATTTGAGAAATGTTGGTTGAATGAACAGGTGAGTGAGGGAGCGAGTTAATTAGTGAGGGAAATGGGTCCATGAGAGTACGGGTTAGTAAGGGGGCGGGTCCATGAGAGTACAGGTTAGTGAGGGAATGGGTTACTGAGGGGACAGGTGAGTGAAGGACCAGGTGAGTGAGGGGACAGGTGAGTGAGGGGACGGGTGAGTGAGGGGACGAGTGTAGCCCCACTCATGGCTGTGATGCGTCTGTTCCAGATCTAGCCATTCAGATCTAGGAACCGGGTCCTCTCCCTGGCAGCACCCCACGCTCTGTACCACCCATTCCGGAGAGCTCGGAGAGCTCGTGTCTGAGTTACTAGCTCCCACCCTGCTTTAACAAGTCGCCAGGGCCCCAGCATTTACAGCAGTGCCCTTCCATCCTCCCACTGTGGGCCAGAGGTCAGGCAGTGTGGGCCCCGCCCTGTGCTGCTCTAGAGTCCTGGGGTGAGGTCCAGGTGCTGGCACACTGGAAGCACATCTGCACGTCTGCTTCCTGGTTCTCTGCTGGCAGAAGTCGGAGCCATGGAGTTATAGGACCAGACTCCCTGTTTCCTTGCCTGCTGTTGGCTGGGGTTCATTGTCAGACCCCCATATTTCCCGTCTTGCAGCCCCCTACAAAGCCACCAGCAGTGGGTCAAGCCCTTGTGGTTGGCATCTCCACCAGCCTTCCTTTTTATCTATTTCTTCTTCAAGGTAGGGTCTTGCTGTGTCTTTTATTATTATTATTATTATTATTATTATTATTATCATTATTATTTATACATTTAATCTCTATACATCATTTAGATTGTAAAGAGAATTTACCCAGCATGATATACACCTCAGTCCAGCCCAGTTGAGAATACTAGACACGTCCTCATCAACAAATAATAAACCGTATCTGTGTCCACAAATGTTGTGGGTCTTGCTGTGTCTTGATCCTCCTGCCTCAGCCTCCTGAGTAGCTGGGACCACAGCTGTGCCCTGCTGGGCCTGGCCTGTTAGGGTGGACAAGAATCGAACCCAGGTCTCCACTTGGTCCCAGTCTGTGGAGCAGCAGCATCTAAGCAGTGCACACCATCACTGCTGGCCTGTGTTCCTCTTTTTAAGGGTTCGTGTGATTGCACTAGCTCCACCCAGATGATCCGGATCATCTCTATTTTAGGGCCAGCCCGTTAGTAACCTTAATTCCATCTGCAAAGGCCTTGGAATTCTGCTCAGGGCCAGCAGCCAGACCCCGCTCACTCTTCCTGCTCAGGCAAGGAGATGGCCTGCCCCTCTGGGAGAGCTGGGCTCCAGGGAGAGGAAGCCCTGGTCTGTCCCCACAAACAAACAAGCATAACAGTGCTGAGTTCCCATGTGGCCCTTGGTGACACCTGGGCATGCCCCCTGTCACAGCAGCTGGAACCTGGGTGGGACTCAGG